TTACAACTTGGTGCTCATTTTTGAGATTTATTCACATATTTATGTTAATTAATAGTTTAACAACCATCATATCTCGATCGTCTAGATAAAGTTTAGAATACAATAACTAGTATTTCAGGAACATAATTTCCTGAAAATAATATTCAAAATTTACTATTTTATAATTTAAATAAGATATCGTACACTTGCATAAATATTTTGTGTAAAGATTTCTCTAAAGGTAATTTTTGTCTTCATAAAAGTAGCATAAAGAGATGTCACTTCTACAGGGGTATAATCGGTTTATTTTCGTGCAATATTCCATGGACTTAAAAAGCTTCTGTGAAAATTACAACCTAAGGGTGTCGGTGTAAGACATAAACAAAAGTCGGGGGATTTTTGTAATTACTAATAGGTGGGGGTACTTTTTATAATTTAGCCTAACTTCAGGGGTTTTTTGTAATTTATCCATTATTTAAATTAGGATAAATTACAACCACACCCTGAGGTATGGTCAATTTACGAAAAAAACCCTCTTCTTTGGATAATTACATCTACCCCATTTTTTCTTACACATCCACACTTATGGTGTCAAATACAACATAATCATCTAGATTTCGTGGAATGTGCTCTAGTTTGTACTCGTTTTGTGTAAAAATACAGTTTCTGATGCACCACAGTTTGATATTTATAAGCATTTTGTCTATACATTTTAGTGACTGCAGCGACACTTGGTGGCCGACAAACTACGATAATGTAATTTCTAAACTATGATTAATTGCTAATCAGTCGAGATTAGTGCGCAATAAGCGACGACTGAGAATCATCACTACTCTATCATTATTTGTAACATATGAATAAAATAGGGTAAAATACATGTTTACCCTTAAATTAGGTCCTTTTTTCTTTTTTTTTGTGAGAGGAAACCCTTAAATTAGGTCAAATGTATGCTTATTTTTGTCTTTACAATATATATTTTTCAATCATTCTTTTAGAGTAAAAAACTGTAGAAGTATTTTATTCATTTATTTTATTTTTGAGTTTTTTTCTATTACTTTCTTAAGCTTGTTGTCGGTTATCTTGATCTTACTTTCCATATTTTTTTTTTCTTTTTTATTGTCCCTAATTATTTTACTATCGAACCGACAATAAGATTACATATTTTACTACATGTTTTCAGTGGCGAGTCCAGGAATTCGGTACAGGGGGGCTTCAATTTTCGGGGGTTCGGGGGCAGCGCCCCCGAGATTTTTTTAGGATTTTTTTGAAAATAGGAAAAGGAGAAACGAAAAAAAAAAGAAAGGAAAAAACAAATTTTAGAGTTTTTTTTGTATTAATATGGATTTTGGGTGGGCTAATTAATAAAATTTGGGACTTTTTTGTATTAATTTGAATTTTGGGTAGGCTAATTAATAAAATATGGGGCTTCTTTTGCATTAATTGAAATTTTGGGTGGATTAGTTAATAAAATTTGAGTGGGCTAAATAGAAATATGGTATAATATAGAGGGCAAATTAAAAAATGAGGGTGGGCTTGAGTGCCCCTGCATGTTTTATTGATATCATAATTTTCACTTATAAACTTTAATTGCACTGATTCAAATTTCAAGTTGTATCGAAAAGATAATGGTTCGTTCTACAACTTTTATGATTTCATTTGGAGCTTAATCTTACTATTACGCATTTATAATATCTATTTTATTTTTATTATAAATTTCGCATATAAACTTTGATTGCCCTGATTTAAGTTGTATTAGAAAATTACGAACATGTCCTACAACTTCCATGTTTTATGTTTATTGAGCTTTAATTTGAATTGTTCAAAAGTCACATTCAATACTAACTAATTTCATTAAGTTGGACAAAATCATTTTTAAAAAGAATCATGAATACGAGGCTAATGTGTTTGAAGAGATTTTGGCATTCAATTAAGTGTAATAATCAACATATATCATGGCAATTGGTCACATCTAGAAGAGGGTCCTCATGTTGGAAGGATATATGTTAAATGAATCTATTAATTAAAAAATATTGAGACAATAATGTGTATTTAATTTGTAATAATTGACCAATGCAATCTTCATACATCTTTCCGGTGCCATTTTATTTGTTTTTTTACGAAAACAAAAAAAGAAAAAGAAAACATATACAATAGAACATCGATAAATTAATAAACTCATTTAAATAATATATGTTTCGGATTCTGATTCGAGGACAACGTGCTAAATTAATAATTCGCTAAATTTATAAGATAATGCGTATTTCAAAATTCTTATAGACCCTATCTATATATAAATTAATAATGTATAGAAATAACAATTAGAATAAATGGTACGTTAAATAATATGATTCTTTTGTTTCTTGTTAAAGTTGAAAATATTCACATTAAAATCAATACCTCTTTCTTTTTTTTTTTTTTTTTATGGTAAGAACTTTCGGTGACATATAGCTCAACAAAAAACTGTTCAATAAAGTAGTTGCTCTAAAAACTTCAATTCGATAGACGGCCTTTATAGTATCATTCTCAACTTCATCGCCTTTATTATTTCTCATTTCTCATGATACTCACAATTATTTATTCGTCAATAAACATCTATGAAGTTACGTTGTTTTTTTCAAGATAGTTTAATATATGTTCCACATCCATTTTGTTACGACAATTTAACTCATTGATTAGATTGGGCAGTTCTCAACTAATTTCTCCAACTAAGGGTTCGTCCATATTGCTTTTTAATATTTATTGAAAATAATAGTAACAATTTCATAAATAAGTAAGTTATTAATTAATGTATAAAGTAATAATTATTAATTTTTGGGTAAATTACAATCAACCCCTGAGGTATGGTCAAATTACGAAAATTCCCCTCTTGTTTGGATAATTACATCTACCTATCAGCTATGAATCTTCTTACACTTCCACCATTATGGTGTCAAATTAAACATAATCATCTAGATTCCGTGGAATGTGCTCTAGTTTGTACTCGTTTTGTGTAAAAATACAATTTCTGATGCACCACAATCTGATATATACAAACCAAAAAACACATCTGATGATCATCTTGCTTCAAAATGTAGAGCTTGAATGGGATAAAACGGGTACAAAAGTGATAATATTCTATATAATCAAGAATATTCCACTAAATTTGAAACCACAAGGATGGGCGTGTAAGGAGATTTATAATTAACCATAATTACCCAAACATAAGGGGGTTTTTCGTAATTTAACCATGCCTAATGGGTGATTGTAATTTACCCTTAATTTATAGAAATTTAGTATCTCACTAAATTAATAAGACTGCACCATTCACAACTAAATCAATTTATAGAGATTTAACTGTTTCGTTTGCATCAGATGTCTCTACAATACTCGCAACAAATATTTCCATAGTATTTACATAATGACACGTGTGTCTCATATAATTTTGGACATGGACATGGTATTTTCAGTCCTCTAATTAGTAATGTATACTTTTGTTTTACCTTTTTTCTATATGTCAAGATCTTGTCTCATCACTTAATGAGTAAAAGAACATTGGTATTTTCCCAATAAAGTTTTGAACATTATAATGCCCCAATTAAAGATTCCTCCATGCATATTCTATTTCATATCCCTTCAATAATTCCATCTTGGTGGGAATACTTTATTTAGTATTAGAAACAATTAGCATTAAACATATATCAAAATTTGAAATATGAATACATAAATAAATTAAATGCTTAATTAGTTTGTAAAGTAGTGACTATGAGTACTATTTGATTACATAAGATAAGTGACTGATTAAAGATCCCGCCAAATAATGACCGCCTCTAACCCATAATTAAATACAAAGTGGGAGAATTTGAGACTATTCATATGAATAGGGATGTTCGTTCGGTAATACTGCATCGAAAATTTGTATTTCGGTTCGGTAGTGGTAAAACCAAAAATAAATTTTAATAAACTAATTAATTCTTGAATTTGACGTTGAAATTTTAATAATCGGTCCTAAAAAGAAAAACAATGATTATCAATAGGTAAGGTACGATATATTGGGTATCAATACTGAATACCGTACCGAATACCGGAGTTCCAGAATTTTTTTACCGAAATACCGAATCGAGTTTTCAATCCAGTTCAGTTTATCGACAGAGAGAACACCCTAATTATGAATATGTAGGATCCCATTAGAAAAAGTGGAACATATTAGAGAAAAGGAAAAGGAGAAAAAAGGACAAGAAAAAGAAAAGGCAAAAGCAAAAGGCAAAGGATTTTAGTGCATGGCTTCACCACTTTATTATGCAAATGGTGCTAAGTTATTTTGTCATTTCTAACTAGTTAATTATATATATATATATATGTCATACATGTATATGATAAGACGAATACAACAAGGAAACTATCATAAAAGTATTTTGAATATAAACAAATATTTTTCATTTAACAATATTTCAAAAAGGATTCGCGGGTTTCAAATGTGAGTTGACTGGTAGCTAGACTAGAGCCTATGCACTTCTTATAATATACACAGTATATATATATATATATATATATATATAAACAATAAGCAAACTACACAAGAACATATACTGAATGGTCAAGATTTCTAGAAACTCATCCCAGATGTCAAAGCAAAACTTTCCCTCCCGACGACAAAAAGAGTTACATTCATTCTCGGTAAATACCCCCCTCGAAGCAACCGAAAATATACATACTCAGATATGTAAACTCTCCGGAAACACCTTCCTCAGAATAACCAAAAACAAACTCAGATATCGCTTACGGGTTCTAAGATCTCCATTACATTAATGGCATAAAATAGTTTCTTTCTAACTTCCTTCCAATCATAGACCTCTCTCTCTCTCTCTACAAAATAGGGCAACCCTTCATCTTCAGCCCATATTTACTCATAAATAACTGAATTTACTAAAAAAAAAACATACATATTCAGCCTTTCCGGAAGAACATATGCCACCACATCTACAGTTTCAGGGGCAACAAAATACCCGAGCAGTTGGTTAACCCTAACAGTAGATGCTATCTGATTTTCACTTGTTCCTTGTACAAATATTTGCATCTATTTGATGTTAAATCATCCGATAATACACATATACCACATCCTTACAAATAAGGTAATCCTCTTCCGAGGGTTAAAAAGACATCACCACCTATCTCAACCAAATTAATTTAACGAGCCCAGAGCTGCAAGCTGTTAGACTACTTCAAACCCTTTTAACATATATGATTCTAGAAGGGAGGAAGACGAATAAATCATGACAGTAACGAAAATTACATCCTTACAAATTAAAGAATCGAATCAACGTATTTGTATATTGCTAAAAGAAGCATGAGCCCCCCTTTGTTAACTTAATGTTCATTTTCAACATTTTTACCTTGAATTCACTTCAGCAAGTAAATTCATCTTCTTGGCAATCTTTAGTAAGTCCAAACAACGCTCTGCATGGGGAAAAAGTGCAAACGCATGTAAAAGAAGAGGTGCACACCTTATACGGTAATGTACGAGCGCACTCAGGGCGCTTGCTATTAGCTGTGGTTCCAAATCGTTTAATCATTCATCAGTATAAATTTTCTTTAACCATGTAAAAGTATCCATGATATAGTAATGGTCATTCATCAGTAAAATATTCAAGTCAACACCATATATTTAATAGATAAGAAACTCATTAAGTATATCAGATCCTTCAATATCAAAATAACTATTAATTATCACTAGGGAGTCTAAGATAAAAGAATTAGTAACAAAGAAAAGCAAGTCCATATGAGGAAAGCACCCTTAGGAGAACTACTAAGCAAAAAAAAAAAAGACCAAAGCCACATGTAACATTTCCAGTTGATACACTCAGTTATCGTACAGCATTTCGCACTCCCGGGAAAAACAAGAAAAGATTACAGGGCAAATCATGTTAAGAAATATCAGAGACGGGGTTTAGAAGCACACAACGGACCATGCAATCTGAATCATTAGCTACTAATACCCTTTGTGCAGACAACAGAAAGTAGACCATAATTGCAACCAGCTATGCAGTCTAAAAGGAACATCTTATGCATTTCTAGTCTAGATAACTGCTCCATTACATATTGAACATTTTAAGTAGATAAAGTCGTACATATCTGAGCATTTAAGAGAATAGGTTCTATTGCCATACTATTGACCTCAAAATTGGAAAGGTGTTCCAGTGTGAGTTAACCACTCATACATCATCACATAACATCGGAAACAGTGAAGAAACTGACCGCCATACTAATGGAATGAACCTTTACTGTTCCATTCTTACTGCATTGCTGTCAGCTTAACAATAAGATATTTAGAAGAAGTTGATTGAGCTCGAAAAAGATAAGACCTCAGAACCAGTTCTTATGCCCCTGAAGAGGTAGCAATAAGTTAGCAACCCCTGTGATTATGAAGCCTACAAGGTTAACTGATCTTATTTTGCTATTAGGATTCTCGAATAGCAATTTGAGGCTTCTCAGAGGATATCTGACCTCAGTTCTGTGTAGTTCTATTACAGTCTGGCATTTGAGTTTTTAGAAACTACAAGCACCAAGTGTATACTATTATTATTTGACCAAAATACCTCAAGAAACCCTCAGGGTGCATTTGGATGGAGGGATTTGGGGGAGGGATTTCAAATCCATAATAACAAATCCCTCGGACTTGTTTGGATTGAGGGATTTGGAGATGGATTTCAAATCCACACCCCTCCTTTTTAGTTATGTTTTGAGCAATTGAGGTGGATTTCAAATGACTCCAAAATTGGAGTCATTTCAAATCCATTCCCCAAATCAAATCACTCCCCAAATCCCTCCATCCAAATGGACCCTCAAGATAGGGGCATTTGGCAAAGTATCACAGAACAAACGATGCTGAAGGGACCATAGAGTCTACAGCAGAGTTTCTGCACCTCATCCAGAGAAGGGATTATAGACAACACAGTGAAAAGGGACACACGGCCGCACAATCTTCAATTGCAAACTAGAATGTCGTATCAACTATGAGACCGCGTCTTTCAAGGTATAGTAACATTCCCATGACTGGCGACTTTAATACCATTAAGATCAATTTTTTTAACAGCCATATATGATAACTTCAATCACTAGAAAGTATGATTCCACTCTTTTAGGCCTAGTTTCATTTCACAACTTGAGGCTTTATGCAAGTCGCAAAATGATTTACAGCCTATAGGAACTGATAAAAATATATTTTCACGAATCTTTTTGACAGTAGCATGCAAAATGATTCCATTGATCTCATATTTGCATGAAGATTGCTGCAGCACGAGTAAGTTGAACCAACGATAATTTGCGTGGGAGGAATTCCACTCTAGTTTTCGTCAAATGTGGGAGCAACAACCTTATGTGGTTTAATAAAAAATCTAGCTGGTGATCTAAAGATGATTCACTCAAGGCTTAACGATTGCAAAAATAAGATAGATTGTGGCACTAGTGACTGTAATGTTGAGTCCTTTTTCGTTGGAGTCAATTAGTGAAAGCGGATGGGCAGTGCAGAGATCTCATAGTCTATATATAAGGAGACAGAAGTAAGTACAATGACAGGACAGCTATAAGGCATGAAGATGGGGATGGACTGAATGACAAACTTATTAAATGAATAACAGTGCACGAAACAAGAGTATCCATATTCCATAGACTCTAAGACAAATGGCCACATTCTTTTCAAGGAATTCACGACCGAGTTTCTTTAAAGAAAAAACCATTGGCCTTATAAGCACGCACCCAAAAGGATTTGAACACCAAACCTCTTTCCACATGGAAGAAAGCCAATACCATTAGGCTAAAGCCTTAATGGTATTATAATAGCATGCTTATAATACTTGACATAACATCATATTTTTTCTTTGTTTATTTTTTTATTTAGTTATTATTTAAGTCTTCTTTTTGCAGGAGGATGGACGGATGGGGATAGACATGTTCACGGTCCCGGGCAAAAGAGGGCCAGGAACCGTGGGTATAGTAGTGGAGAGGTTGATCTATCCTCTGTAATCTCACATAAAAATCAAACTAGTTCCGCTCATTTCAATTAAGCGGATCATACTGATTACCAATATCCACAAACTCAATTTTTCAAAAAGAAAAAGAAAAAGAGGCTTTGATGCTTCTATCCAAGACACGAAGCTAAAATGCATTTTATCATTAGAAAGAATAAGATGAAAAGTGATGACATATTATAAATAAGGCTTTCACTAAAAAGTGACTATGTACCTCAGATAATTTGACAATAGTAATCAAAGAATCCCACAATTCTCAACTCCAACATCTGATGACAAAATTAAAAGATCAAGCACCGATTTTCAGCCTGCTACCTTTATTCCCCCCATCTCATCTATCTTTGAACTCTTGTGCTGCAAAATTTCAAGAGTCAGATGTACCATCTGGAAAATTGTTGACAAGATTGAAAGAGTTCGACTAAAATTTAAAACTCGTAGAAGTCTACTGGTCCTCCTCTTACCTTACTTTTCTTGTGTTTATGAATGTCATTGCCTTCCTCATCTCCATCATGCTTTCTCTTCTGAAATACAACATGTTCAGGACAGTTTGATTTAAAAGTCTACCAACAACTTCATATAAGAGTTGAAAATAGATCAAGAACACTACCAGTGAACCAAATAAAACTCAATACTAAAACTGTTCACTGATGAGTTTTATACGTGTCAGTCTTACAACCTGACAGTTGCAGTCTGTGAAATTAGGAAATTAGGCAAACAGTTTGTCTTACATAATTATAAATGCCAGTCCGGTGTTTAGAATTCCATAAGAAAACCTGTGTATATTTAGGAGGAAATACAGTTTGAATACCTTCTCATGATGTCTTTTAGAGTGGTCATTGCCAGATTCATGATGGCCACTTTTATCTTTTTTCTTCTCCTTGTCCTTGTCTTTGCTTCGATCTTTATGCCGATGTTTGTGCTTCTTGTGTTCTTTATCTTTATCTCTGTCTTTGTCCTTGTGCTTTTTATGTTTCTTTTCCTTGTCTTTGGACTCACTTTTGGATTTCCCAGCAATGGTAGGAGTGCCCTTCTCAGACTACAAAACATTAGAAGACCAAAATAAGATTTAAAGCTGTAACATAATTTATAGCACAGAAGGAAGACTCAAAACCATCCAAATAGTGAGCCTCATCTTTTCATGGGTAAAAAGACTATCATTAAGCACACCAATAAAATTCATAAGCTCAATGAGTACAAACTCACAGGAGGAAGATCAACTGGAGCTGTTTCCCTCAGTTGAAAAGCTTCCCTCAGAATATCCAGGTCAAAAGGCTGTATTCGTGTGCTAGTTTCTCTAGACAAGGGCTTATCTTGAATGAGTTGGCTCAATTGCATTCCCTCCCCTTTTCTGATTTCTGTGTCTCCAACAACGTTGTGAAGATAGTGAGTGTCTGATATTGACAGGGGAAGCGGCTTCTTGCAGAAGAAATCATGATGAGGCAGCAATTTGTAGTGACTTATAAGATCCACAGCACCTGTAAGTTCTCTTGGCCCTAATTTCAAGAATAGAACACAAAGATGGTTTAATGACCTGGGAATAAATTGATAAAAGCACAGTTGAAAGCTCATAGTCTATTCTTCCACAAACATATATTGCATCACGAAAATCCTGAAACCACAAGTATCTAGACTAATCAAAGGAATGACTTTGAGTCAGTGGCAACAGTGCTAAGAGCATCGACTGTGACTTTCATGAAAGCAGATATCAGCAAGCATTGGCAGCTCTAAAGAATAAAACTATTTGTTTTTTCTCCGTTTGTCTCTCCGTTTCATCTAAACTACTTCATCATCAAATGAGCAACGAGGTCAGAAAAAATGAATTCCTTACATTGTCAAATGAACCAAAATCTAAAACATCTCAACAATCACCTTCCCTGCGTTCCATTGTTCCTTCCCACCTCCCGAATAAATGATTCCAATAAAAAGATAATTCATTCATAATAAATAAGCTCTCAATTACTACAGGAGAAAATGTTTCCAGGCTTTAGCTTTTCTAATATGTCCAGCTCGAAGTGAAAAAGGAAAAAAAAAACATATTTAATACCACATTCCATAAAAAAATCACCATAAATAATCTATAGACCGGCCGATAGGGAGAAGCGGGGAAACTGCAGATATAGATACCTAATAAGGAGACCATGAGATAATATTTCTTTAATCACCATCCATATTTTCATTAAAAAATTCAGCTATCAACACAAATACTGATTATTGGGGTTTTATATTTGAGGGTTGGGGGTTAAAGAAAAATCATAGCTCATAAAGTAGTTCACATTTACAATATTTACCTCTTCCAAACTTCTTGTAATCGGGATCCATCAATCAGCTCCTGATAAAAAAGTAGCTCATAACTGCCAAAGATTTCACTGAAACAAAGAAAAATAAAATTACTTGACCAGTGATTTTTCTTTATAATCTCTGCAAGTTAGACCATGATGAATAAGGAAAAGCAATTCGATGAAACAATAACATATCAAGTTCATGAAACAGAATCCAATAATAGGAAGTTCCTGATAACACGAGACATTGGTCAATACACACTAAGATAGAAGGTTAGAAAGACAGCGAAATAGTCAAAGTTCAACAGTTACAGATCCCTGATCTGAACGTAAAAAAGGTGGTTAATCTGCACAAGAAGCCAGAGAGAGAGAATCTGGTGAAAGAAATTCTTCTACAAATCTTTACAGAAATCAAAAGCACGTAATTCATGGCATTTACTAATCAAAACCTTTTAGCGAATCAAACAGCTGAAATCACTACAGATGGATCCTCAGTTACTCTGCAATCAGTATACATTCTAATAACACTTCGACCCCCAGTTATGTTGAAGATTGTATTGCCCCGACAACAGTTACAGAATACTAATCTGCTGCTTACCTCAGACTTAGCTTAAAGGAAGCAAGACTGAAACGTAGAATGAACAAGCATTTTCGCCGTGTATGTGTGACTGTGTGTGTGTGTGTGTGTGTGTGTGTGAGAGAGAGAGAGAGAGAGAGAGAGAGAGAATCATCAACAACAATGTAACTGAACGATAGGAATATTATGAGACAATAACTGCAAACAATAAAGAAAAATGAGTCCAAACACTCTGTCTACAATAACTTGAGATAGAGAACAGGCGGGAAAGCTGGAAACTTTACTTCATGGGTCACGTAATCAGATTACTACCTACCGATGAGATATCAAAAAGAATATCAATAAGTTTAAGAAGAAAAAGCAGTGCAAAACCCCAAATTTATGCAATCGCATAGAAAGTTGACACCATCACATCCAAAAACTAAGAAAAGTGACGCATGGCCACAACCTTTGACCCAGATAGAGTTCCATCTGTCATTACTGTGCCAATAAATTTTCTAAGCGTTACAAAGTATAGCAGTATTCGCGTCGTGACACGTGGGAAAAAACTTCTTTGTTTATATCGCAGCCATAAATACTCACAAAATGTTATTTTCAAGTTGCGCAAAGGGAAAATGAGAGAAAACACAAACGCAATGGGGACACAGGTGAAAAGCACATGGACACCAAAATTTGGCCTATAACTCCGCATCTTGGTCGATATAAAATTTGACTTCCTGAACTTTTTCCGCATATTCATTGTATCTCGTAACTTGATAGCATATATTATGTAATTTTTACCTCCACTTAAACTTTCCTTACCATTTAAGTGAATTTATAGTAAGTTAAGCTCCGGTGATTAAGTTAATATAATTTATGAGCTATTGTTATTTCTCCAAATGAGGAGGGGACTAATGAACTTTCAAGTTTTAAGCGCATCTCTATTTTGCGGTAACTGATAATATTTTCCTGAAACTGACCCGCTGAAAATATTAGAACAAGGCACACAAATGGTGTCTGATTCAAAACATCAACTCACAATTTCTAGTGAAAATTGTGGCATGTATATTATCTCTTTGGTACCCCTTTTAGAATGAAGAAAATGCTAGCAAATTGAAGAAAATAGAGGATTGGTTATATTATCTCCTTGCATCATTTTTTTTTCTTTTCTTTCTAATATCCTCTCAACGTTGCCAATTGACAAATGAAATGAAATGAAACTAAAAACATACGCATTCCCTCTCCCCTTGTCTTCTAGGAATGTAATTTAATTCCAAATCACCTCAGAAGTAGATTTTTCATTTCAAAGACTTTATTTTGGAGAATAAAAAGTTATCTTCTTATACTTATTTTTCAAGTACTTGTGTTAAATTATGACTTTCATTTGCATGTGATTGGAATTAGGGTTTCCTTCAGTTTAATCACTTCAGGTTTAAGCTTTTTCATCTTAACTTAAAACCCCGCATCTTACGATATCTTTACTTCATTAAATATTTCACTTGCAAGAAGGTAACGTAACACTATTTTGTTATTATGAACTAAACAAACTGATTTTTGCAAATCTCTGGATCCAACTTTAATAAAACTACGGCAAACGAATTCTAATATGGAAAACATTTAGACAACATTTAAAGCACGCCAAAACTTGAACTATTTCCAAAACCAGATGGACAGAAACGTTTAATTAAAATACTTTCCTAGACAAAATTAAATATGAGAGAAACTAATTCCATGCCACGGACTTGCATCTTTCATGCAGTTATATTCCATGACCAATAATATAACTATTTACTCAGCTAGAAAAACCAGGAAATTAGACATTTTTCCAACAAGTAAAACCAGAGAACTACACTAGAATGACCTTCAGTTATTAGTTCATGGATAAACCGTACATAATGGCACAGGGAAACCTAGAATTAGAGAAAATCTGGTTTAGAAAAACCCTAATACAAGAAATTAAATGACAAAATAAGAAACTCACAATTACAATTCAAAGCAAAGCACACGGCCAAATCACAAAGAAACACATGACAACTGAACTACAAAACAAAAAAAAAAAAAAGGATACTTGTTAACAGTATCGACAGGAGTTGAAACTACCTAATCGAAACCCTAATTTGAAAATTCAAAAAGAAAGCAATAACCGTAACCCTAATTTAACAATTCCACACTCAAATCATACTGAAGGAAAGGAAAATACTGCAGACGAAGAAACCAATCCCAATTCAAGCAGAAAGAAGACAAATAAAAACGAAATAACTGAATACACACCTTGACCGACCAAAGCAACACGATTTTGGGGGCTTTTCGCTGAGGTTTTTGGAGTGATCGGCGCCGAACAAACCCCCCCGTGTGCAACAAATTTCAGGTGGAAACCAGCCTCTGTAATTCGACGTAGAACACGGAAACCGACGAGTTGTAGAAAGAATTCGAGCTGCTTGAAAAAAGTTTGTTAATGGAGGGAAAATAACAGGGGTGGGGATCGGGTGCCGAATCGGGGGGACTGTGGAAGAATACTTTCAGGGGCTCTTCAATTGGTTTTCTAGGGAGAAATTACACGTGGCGTCACCCTAGTGGTTTTTATATTCTTTTTATTTTTATCTTAAAGTTTTACATATAAATTAATTTAAATCTCCATCTAATCTTTTCATAAATATAATTTATTTGTTATTTTAATTATTCATTTTAATCCCCGACTTTCTTTAATCAATATACCACGTGATAATTTTGTGTAATATGATTATGTAATTTAAGATGAAAAATATTTAATGGCAAGTATCATTGTAAATTCTTTTAATAAAATATAATGGAAAATTATTTTATATAAAACTATTTTTGCACGTAATCTTTAATATTTTTTATTTAATTGAAGACATAGTACTTTTTTTTTAATATCGTTCAATTCAATTATAGTAATCATATTGTATCTTATTATTATATTGATTTTTTTTAATATTAAATGATTTTTGCTATTTTTTCTTGACATTTGATACCCCTTTATTCGGAATATATTTTTAAATTCTAGTAGAAGAGGTATCAAAATACAACTCTCTTTGATAACTCTATTGGAGGATAAAATTTTAAATTTAAGGGCTCAAATCGCGATTAAGAAATTTAACCATTGGAGTTGCTCGTACCAAAACATAATTCCATTCTAAGCTCAACTAGTATGACAAACTATATGTTTACGATGTGCGAACAAAGAGGTTAACAAAACAGTTGGTTAGTAATTAATATATTTCTTTTTTTAGAAATACAAGGGTTTTTTAATTCAATTATCTCAGATCCCCATAAATAATTCATTCAAAACACAAGATTCTCCACCCGACAAAACCGCTATTTTTGTGAGCTACTAGGTTGTCGTTCCTCAAGTATGATGAGCTTTACTTCTCTAAGTTTGCTTCCATCCGTCTAATGTCTTTTGTGATGTTTCCATATTAATGTATAGAGCTTGAAACTCATCCATGACCGCTAATCACAATAATCTAATCTCTTTTCAATTGTTAGGTTGGGCCAACTCATCTTCACATATAGTTGCTTTAACTTCGATTAGTATAAGATCCAGTGTTTGTATCATACAAAGAGACAACCATCACACACATTCGCTAGTACTCAATCTAGTTACGGTGGCAAGTCCACATACGTTGTTCGCATAATTCACAATAATTCACACTGACATTCAATTTTATTTCAATTTCATCGCTGTCGAAGCTACCATTATGCAAAATTTGTGTCCCTTAATAATCGGCCGCAACACTTTCATCGTCGCTCCATGAATGGCATTTTAATACATTGAGAGAAACAAAAAATTTCATGGTAAATAGCTCTTCCCCTTCAATTTTTTTTTTAAACAACCTTATAACATGGTTTACAACGGACACACGTAAAAAAAAAATTCGAACTTCCAACTTCTCACGCCGATTTTCAAAAGTTTGTTGCCAATTTTCAAGTTCGCTTGGTCACAAGTCCAAAGACTAACATAGACCACAAACCACAACAACTTACATTCCAAAATAAAAAAAAAAAAACAAAAAAAAATATTAAATAAATGTATTTATATTCCACTAGCATATTCTCTCTTTGAACGATTTCACGAACCAATCCGACGGCGGTAAAAAGTTCCCAAAATTTATGGTCTTCGCCTCTTCTACGTATATATAAAAGCACTCCAATAACTCAACTCGTTCACGCAACTCACCCGTTCCAATCTCGGCAGCATCGCCATTTTCACACTACAACAATGGCTTCTCTCTCCATCCCACCGCTTAATTCCTCGATTCGGTCCGTGCTTTTCACAGTAATTCTCTGGATTGGATTGTTTTGCATTGCGGAGATCAATGCCGGCGGGGATGTGGGAGAATTTTTGCGAAAAGGAGGGAATAATCCGAGGGAATTCGACTACTTCGTTCTCGCCCTCCAATGGCCGGGTACCTATTGCCGCAGAACTCGCCATTGTTGTTCCTCTAATGGCTGCTGCCGAAGGTACTACTACTTGCCTTCTTATTTGATTTTGTCGGTCAATTGTTTTCGTATCGAATTTAACTTGTTTCCGTTTGTAAGTTTTGAAAAGATCTCTTATTTAATTTTGTTGGTGATTTTTTTTTTTTTTTTTGAATAAATTAGCTTCATCTATTAAGAATGGCAGGCAACTTACTTTTGCTTTTCGTTTAATTTTGCCAGTACGAATGCGCCAACAGGATTTACAATCCGTAAGTCCACTTCCGTACATTCTTCAAATTAAGAGTGGTGGTACTATGAATATTATGGCATAACCCTAAATTTTAATGGTCATGTTTAAAATTTCGTTTATTGATTTGAAGGAGTGAAGTATGTGCATCTGAATATAATATATTTTGTTTTACACTTTTGATGTAATTTTGCAATGTCAATGTGATGCCTGCTACCGTGCAGATGGACTTTGGCCGAATTATAATGACGGAACTTGGCCGTCATGTTGCACTGGTAAAACATTTGATGCTAAAGAGGTATAGCTTTTGTTGGTGATTTAGTCTATTTCCTCGTTTATATCTAAACAAGTTTCGGGTGCCCTTTTAATATGCATTTGGCATCTGATTTTATTGAGCTTGCGATATCACTCAGTCTGGAACATTCTTGGTAAACAGATGAAACTATATACCGGTGGCTGCTAGAATAGATTTGAATTGTTGATAGTGTTCAAATGTGAAGGCAATCATTGCTTCTGTAGTGGCATAATACATTATTTCTTACCCGACATGCCGTTGATATGTGTTGGTTGATATGACCGGTAGGATGTAAGCTTAGATTGTGAATACGTGATATTGCTTTATCATTCATTCACTCTCGTCGACCCGAGAGAACTGTTATTTTTCTGTCCTACCCTTTTCTTTTCCTAAAGGTTTTTGTCCTTGGGGATCAAGGCTATTTGTTTATTTATCCAAGTCCTTATTTCTATGAAATGCTATACTTGGTCCGTTCGGTTTTGTTAATTAGATCATTTACCTTTTAAAGTGTATGTGCTATATTTGTCCTTTGCAGATCTGTTCTAATTTTTACCATTTTGGAAACTGCAGGTTTCGACGTTGCTTAGTGGACTGAATATGTACTGGCCATCTTTAAGCTGTGGTTCTACATCTAACTGCCATGGTGGAAAAGGAATATTCTGGGAACATGAGGTTTTCTAATTATCTGTACTTTACTTCAGAATTTGTTATGGTATTATCACATGGACTAATAATTGCTACTTTGTACCTGTCATGTTTGGATCGCGAATCGTCTGGAAAAAAGTGGGGTAAACATCTTCCTGAAGTGTTCATACTCCATTTATTTTACCGTTTTATTTATAATATGATGAATAAAGCTTATCATATCTATAAGTTGGTTCCAAATTCCAATTAAATCTAAGTTGTTGAATATATTCTTAAACGTATGGCATCACCAGTTTAAGTTCTTCTTTTTTCTTCTTCTTTTCTTGTTAGTTATGTTAGTTGTTTTTGGCTGTTAGGACCGGTCCTGCACTCAATTGCCTTTAGCATATTTCTATGATGCTAACATAACCTAGTTGACCTTGTGAAATTTATGTTGTACTTTCTGCTAAAGCCTTGCCCAAGTGCCCATGGATAAAAACAAGATTACGAGAGACAGAGAAAATTATGATATAAAGTTGCAAGATGCATGAAAATTCATTGCACTGCAGATTGATATGCGTTACTCTGTGTGTGTGCGTGTGTGTGTGTGCGTCTAGGAAGTAGGAAGTCGAGTACATGCAAAGCAGCACAATCGTCATACTGAGACCTGTTTTTTTTTTTTTTGTTTTTTCATATAGCTGGAGATTCGAGTGCACGAAATACTTAATATGTTTCAAAGGTGGAATTACACAGAAAATGTAAAGACTTAGAACTGGCTAGTCGGTTCTATGGAACTAATCAAAGTTAAATTTATCGTCATACCTTCAAATACTAGTGCACGATATGAGCTGTATCTTGATTTTGAATTTTCCGTACTCCCAGGTGGGCAGTGATATCAAACAGATGTGTATTTGGCGTATTTTTGTGCATATAAATATATAAAGAAACTGAATAACATGATACTGCACCAAGCAAAGAACCACTGTGGGGGAGACCTAACATATTTTCTTGCTTTCCTTGTTTTGCAGAAAAACACGGAACTTGCGCCTCTTCAGTTACAGGAGAAGAGTACAATTACTTCGTGACGGCACTTAATGTTTATTTCAAATATAATGTCACAGTAAGATGCCGATACATTATTTTTTATGTTTGTTCATTAAATACATGGTACTTCGTACATTTACGAGTATCAAATCTGTTGCATTGGAGTTTATCGCGTAGTTGGTCTTTTACCCCTCGATTTATGTAGTCACGACGTCATGCAGGATGTTCTGAGAGAAGCTGGATATGTAGCTTCTGATTCTGAAAAGTATCCCTTAGGAGGCATTGTTTCAGCCATTCAAAATGCTTATCATTCAACTCCAGAACTGCAATGCTCGGGTGGTGCTTTGCAGGAACTTCATTTATGCTTCTATAAAGACTTTACGGTGAGAATTTACTGTCGATTATGATGAGTACTGGTACGAAATTGATATATACCTTGATGGATCTTGTATTGATAGTTAGACCTTGAAGAAATCATTTATACTTGTATTACATCGCTATTAAGTATTTACATTTGGCTTGTTTCTCCTCGAGAGTAATTTAAGCCCTGCTCTAACAAGGAGTCATTTTTTGCAGCCTCGGGATTGTGCAGCTGGTTCCAACACTACAAATGGCTTTGTTAATTCAAAAAAATCATGCCCCAAATACATCAGCTTGCCAGAAATTGCCTCATTGAGTAAGTTCAAATCTCTCCAAGCCACATGTAGAAACAATAGGTCGTCTCTCCGAAGTTCCATTTCACTTGGAATTTTCTAAATTATTTTTCCTGTGAGATTTTCAATGTTTGCTATAGGATTATGATAACTTACCGAATATTTTTGCATTTCTAATTTAAACCTTTTACGCGTCACAAATGATTCGAAATAACTCCATTTTCCGTATGCAGAACTTGGAAAAGCTGAAACTGAAGTTTCACAATCTACTTTACTATCATCTATTTGAACCGGGTCGTATGCTCTTATCAGCCAATAATGCCAAGAAGTTTGTCGCTGAGCCGTTGGCCTCTGTATCTACCTGTGTTATAATGTATTAGTTTATGCAGCTTATTATTGTTTACTTAGCTTAATTAATTGCCTGGTCTTAAAACACATTCGTATTTTCCTTCAATCGTAAACATTATATCCTGTGTACAACAGCCTCTAAATATGTATGCACAATGGACTCGAAACAAATGTAAATTTCATCGAGATGTTTTCTGCACTATGTGAGTAGTTAAACATTTGAAAAATCCCTCGTGTTTGCGTAATTACAACCACCCCTCAACTCTGTACTGTCTTACACGTCCATCATTTTGGTATCAAATTTATCTACTGAAAGAGGGTTTTTTCGTAAGATAATATATAATTGAGGGGCGATTATAATTAGCCAGACATGAAAAGTTCTATAATCTGACCTGTAAGGCATAAAACACTCTAATTTTGTTTATCTTTATGTTCTCCCCATAAATGGATTTATTGTGGAATTGTTATGCTTATGTTAATTGGTATAACATTTCATGTGTTAGAATTATTAGCAAAATCATTTAATCATTCAATTTATAAGCATTTTGAGACTTGTTTTCATTTTGTTTTGGCAAATAATATTTTGAGTGAAGAATTTTAAAATGAATAGTAAACTCAATTATTGTCTGGTTATTAATCAATATAAGCAATAACTAACTTAAATAACAAGCTTGAGATTCAATTGTCTTAGGGTTGAATGTGACATTCACTAAGTAATCTAGAATAATTATTTATTATATTATTGATTTATTTTGGAGATATAAATATTAAATGGTTAACTTTATTAATAATTTAAATTTCTAGGTCATTTAATACGGTCATTTTTAAAATTCCATGTTCAAGATTTCAAAATTGTAACGTGCTAACTACAATTTCGCTAAGCATGTAAGCTGTTAAAAAGAGTTTATAACATGTTTAATAGTTTAAAAGCTCTTTCGAAGTATTTTGTAATTTATTTTAAAAAAAGATCTTAAAATTCAACAAACAAGCCGTTGGAGAGCATTATTCAAGATTTGTTTTTATAAGTATTTCTACTCCATCATTTTTTTAAGATCTTAAATGGGTAAAATAGATTATAAGCTTATTATTCAATCACTTTAAAAATAAAATTGTAAAAATAAGACGTAACTTTATCAACTCTTAAAACAACATATCAGACGAATGAGTTTGTCAGTTGTTCAAAATAACTATATATTGTGATTTTTTTTTTTTTTTTTTTTTTTGTAGTATATAGTCACTACATCGATAGTTTGATATGATATTTTTCTAAAAATAATTGAGTCTAGAAGATAATTAATTAATTACATCTCATTAAACCTATCCTGAACATTATAAAATTAATCGATATGAATTGATCTCAATCTTGTCTGCCAATTGCATTAACTTTTTCAATCACAAAACTTCGTTTTCAAAATTTTCATAGTATATTAATAATGTTAATTATCAACCATAGTGCCATTAATTATGCAATTAACAAACAATTAGCCTGGCTCTTAATACAATCAAATTATTGTGCACTTTATTGACAGTAAAAAATAATATCAGTAAAAACATGTTTATTATTCTCTAATGATTAGTTGAATCTTTTATATATGATTTGATTAATGTTAACTGAATAAGTTTCTAATTACAGACTGATTTATTTAACCATTTCAATACAAAAAATAGCCACATCTAATATAACGCCTCATATGGTGTTTGATTAAGTTTATAAGCTGTTAAAAATAACTTATAAACTCTTCTAAAGTGTTTGATAATTTTTTTTGAAAAGATCTAAAAATTCAAAAAATAAGGGGAGCATTAAGATTTTTATTAAAAGCACATCTACCATATCTTTAAATTATTACGAGTAAAAATAACTTATACACTTATTATCCAAACACTTTAAAAATTATTTTTAAAAATAAGATGCAACAGATTATCCACTCTCAAAACAACTTATCACATGTAATAATTGTAATTTCAATGATGGTACATACATGGGAATGCAATATAAAATTGTCACACTCTTAAAACAACTTATCAGATATACAAATTTATCGGTTATTTAAAATAAACTTAGCCAAACATGGCTCTAAGCAATATTAGTAATTTCAATAATAGTACAAACATGCGCATGCAATATAGAATTGTCACACACTTGGTCACACCACTACTAATTATACTATAATCTATGTAATTATTTTAAAATTAAAGGAAAGCAACTTTTAGGTGGTAATAATGGCACAATTATTGAGGAATAGTGCAATTCCAACTCAAATTCTTTTTTGTTCAAGGTGACATTAATTCCCACTCTAATTCTTTTTCTATTTAATTAACCCAATCCAATTTGGTTGATATTGTCCTATTATTGCACTCACCTACACATACATGAATATCCCCATTAACTTTTAATTAATTAATTAATATTTTATTTTATAATTATTTGTACATGTCCACCATTTTCTATCTTTGTACATCACCATGCTGCGTCAACAGGTAATAAAATTAATGGAAACAATGTTGGTGAACTATTGAACTTAATTAATTAATTCACATAATCACTTTATTTATAAAAAATATAAAAGATCAACATTTAATTAAAAATAAATCCCAATCTTGTTGCCACACTTGTACTAAACTTTTTGCACAAGTCCTTTTTTTTTTTTTTTTTTTCCTTTCTTTGGATACATAATTAATATTGAACAACTATTTTAATTTGTTTGATTAATTAAATTAAAAAGTCTATGATGTTAGGTAAAATTGCCTAGGCCTAGATTATTTGAAACAATTAACACTAAAAAAGGTGGTAATATTTTAGTGAGATAACACCAAGATTACTGAGGTAAGCCGCCATTAGGGTGTTAAAAAGGAGATTTGGTGTAATCTTTACGTATAAACGAACTTTTCGAACTGATTAAGACGCTTAATCACATTTTCTTAATTTCTTCTCTTTTTAATTTGATTTACAAATAAAGAGGATTCAATTGTCTTTCCATGCTTTGAAGGGTGCACTTGTGATGATTGAGGAAGAAAATTGGACAGATTGTATAAAAATTAACATTTTTTGGATAATTAATTTTAATTCAATTTCCCAAAAAAAAAATAGAAAAAAAAATGAATGAAAAAAATGTTCTAAAATTGAAAATTTTAAGATCGCATTGGCGACATCGAAAGTACATCTTTTATTCACTTATAATACAAAATACATAATAAAGTATTTTAATATTATGAATTTAATTTAGGGGAAAATCAGAAATTTTGAATTAATTTTTGGATTTTTAAGTAAGATAAAAAAAATTGGAATTTCACACACACACACACACACACACATATATATATATATATATATATATATATATATATATATATATATATATATATATATATATATATATATATATATATATATATACACACGGTATTTCTTAAAGATTATTTTCCGAATATTAGGCATGCAAGGCCAAATTAATTAGGAGTCACGAAGAGAAAGATTGTTGACTTATCTCATAATGAACGAAAAAAGAACAAAAAGAAAAACAACGAGAAATATCTTGTAGAACTGCATGAGCTTCCCCATCCGTTGCTTCAACATTACCGGGGAACTTCGTTACTCTTCACGAAATCCATTGCTAAATGTAAAATACCGCGTACACGTTGATCTTCACCATCTAACGAAGACGGGTTG